GTACGGGACCATAATCCATCTATTTCACACACACACACGCTAGTACATAACAATATGGATTATGTGTATTATATTTGCCACCACAAATGAGGGAATTAATTTCATGTAAATCGGCCAGCCACACCTCCAAGAATACGCGGAGGAGGTGGCCCGGGTCGGCGTCGGCTCCGTCCGGCATGGGCCACGGGCCCGCTTCCAAGCGCGTCTGTGCGTCGTTCACCCACGCCGTGTCCTTCAAGTGCCACTTCCACCGCACCAACTCCCAGGGTCACGGCCATGGCCAGGGCCAGGGAAGCCGCCCTTCTTTGCCCCCTTCACCGGCCGCGGCCAACGCGGTGCCGCGGCACCCAGCCTCGCCGTCCTCGTGCTCCAGCACCGTCGCGACCCAGTGACGCAGGCCAAGCATCGGCCTCGAGAATCAAGAACGCTCGACAACGTAGAGGGAAGGAAAGGTCATATACATGTCATAAGAAAGGGAGTTTATTTACTGCTCCCTCGATGTATTGTTTCCTTTGTTTGGAGATTGATTACCATCCGTGAGTTAAGGTAAGGTTTACGTGATTGAACGATTTTTTGAAAATCAATTATTTGTTTTCTAATTAATGTAATTGAGTGATTTAAGGTAAGGTTAGTTAATTTAGATTTGATCTTTAGAGATTGTTCGTGATTGATTCTACATTACTAAATAACTTGCGCCAGTATGGAAAGTTCTGATCTGTTTAGATTTCTTTCGTTGTGTGAGAGGATGACGCGAAAATAAACCGATGAAGTGAGGGGAGGGGACGAAAAAAATCTACGAAAAAAACCAGCGAAGGTGGGAGGAGGTACCAAAAAAAACCATGGAAGGTGGGAGGAGACTACCAACTGCTTCATTAGAAATAGAAATTATTAGAGATTAGAGATTATTTGTTTCCTGGAAATCTATTATTTGTTTCCTAAAGCAAATTGCATTAATGAGAGAGATTTCGTAGATTTGGCTAAGGTAGAAAAGAATCTATTATTTGTTTGCTAAAGCAAATTGCATTAATGGGAGAGATCCGTTGATTTGGCTAAGGTAGGAAAGAATCTATTATTTGTTTGCTAAAGCAAATTGCATTAATAGAAGAGATCCGTTGATTTAGCTAAGGTAGGAAAGAATCTATTATTTGTTTCCTAAAGAAAATTGCATTAATAAGAGAGATTTGTTGATTTGGCTAAGGTAGGCGGTTTTTGCGGTTCGTGGCGGCTTAGTGTGAGGTGGGACGAGGTACCAAAAAAAACCATGGAAGGTGGGACGAAAAAAACCTGGAAGGTGGGAGTTTTCCTTGGTTAACCTACGAAATTTCGTATATTTTTTTAGGACGAAAAAAACCCGTGGAAGGTGGGACTAAAAAAACCACCTGGAAACGAGACTACCAACTGCTCGAGTAAAGATTATTTTTAGAATGAACGGGCACGGCAACGCGCCTTAACGGTCTAGTATAGAAGAAAAGCGCCCCCGCCCCAAGGATCATCATAGGCCCTGCATGTGTGCTGAAATAACATATGGGGCTGATGAGACTTGATCAAGTGTATGTCTCGCCTTTAACGAGACGAAAGCCAAGCTCGCCTAGAGAACAACAGTTGTTTGGCTTAGTAGTCATGTAGTTTTGTCACATTGACGTCAGACATGTGCTTTTTTATTTCTCTCTCTCTATATATATATATAAAACTAAATACATATATTATGACAAATAATTTAGTTAATCTTTTTTAAAGTGTTCATCATTCATTAAAGAAATGTTCATGTATGGTAAATAAAAATGTTAGCTGAGCATTTAGAGAATAATGTACCAATTTATAAAAAATTGACATTTCTAAAATTTTCATGCATTTTTTTGTATGTAACATGTTCTAAAAATGTTGCAATGAGAAAATATGTGTAATTAAAGAAATGTTTTGCATCATTCAAAAAACGTAAATTTCATTTTAAAGAATGTTCACACATTTTATTTTTTATATTTAAAAACATTATTTATAGAATTAGAAAAAATATTCAATTTGTTTTAAAAAGGTTTGGTATTTCAATGTGTATTTGAAAAATATTTAACACATATGCAGAAAATTGTTGAACAAACTATTTTGCAAATAGTGAAGATAATTTAGATGTATACGACAGATATATGATGTGTTTGGAAAAAAAGTAGACATTCTTTCCACAATTAGCCCCCCGCCCCGTGGTTCCCATTTTTATTGCAAAAGAGAAACCAGTGAGTACCACAAATTGTTGTCTCTCTCTGGCATGAGAGTTTTGAAACTTATTACAATCATCCACACCCACAATGTCTAATCCAGGATATAAAAAACAAAAGAAAGGCTAGAAAAACTAGTAGAGAAAAAAAAGTATATTTGAAAAAGTGTTAAACATATTGTAAAATGTGTCTAAAAAACGTTCCTAATGTATACATAAAATGTACAATATGTGTAAAAAATAGACTTGTTTTAAAAGAAAGAAGAAAAAGGAAAGCAAAAAAAGGGGGAAAACTGCAGAAAGTAACGACGAAACTGAAAAAAGAAGAACAAGAAAAAGAAAGAGGAAAAAAAGAAAAAACACAAGAGAACCAGAGAAAAAAATAAAACCCAAAGAAAACTGATGCTAAACGATAAAAAAACCCTATAAAATCAGTGGAAAAAACGAGAGCAACTAGTTAACGAGCGCTAATTCGGGAGCCTCGCAACGATCAGCGCCACTTGGCGCGCTCTCAGCCATTCGCCACGTGTCGCACTCTGGACGCTTCCTTCGGATTTTGTTTTTTTATTTTTCCACACGCGTTTTTGGCTTTTTAAACGGTTTTTCCCGGGTTTTTTCGATGTTTTGGTTTTCCCCCGGTCTTTCTTAGCTTTTTGATTAAAAAAATCGAAAAAAAAAATTGCGCGAAAAAACGTGTTTTCTTTTTTTTCCTTTCGCAAAAGTCACGGTTTTTCTTCTGCGAGAGGCACGGTTGTGCTTTATCGAGAGTCATGGCCGTGCCTTTCGGAAACGAAAGCATTTTCTGTTTTTTTTTCTTTTGCGAGAGTCACGGTTTTTCTTCCGCGAGAGGCACGGTTGTGCTTTTGCGAGAGTCACGGCCGTGCCTCTCGGAAAGGGAAAAACAAAACACGTTTTCTGTTTTTTTTTCGTGAGAGTCACGGTTTTGCTTCCGCGAGAGGCATGGTTGTG